ACATTGTCTCAAAAAAAAAAAAAAAAAAAAGAAAAGAAAAGAAACTTGTATGGTTTTGCCATACAATAATTTCAGTTTTAACTTTTAGTACAGTAGTCAATGAATTACTTGAGCTATTTAACACTTTATTCTAAAATAGGTTTTATGTTGGAATCCTTTGACCAACTATACTAATGTAAGTGTTCTGAGCATATTTAAGGTATGCTAGACTAAGCATACCTAATAGACTAATAAGACTAATATTTGGTAGACTAGATGTATTAAATGTACTTTTGACTCACAATATCTCCAATTTACAGTATGTTTATTGGATGTAACATCCTCATGAATTGAGAAGTATCTAAAATTGAGTCCAGACTTTAAAACAACTTGTCTCATCTGAGTGCAGTGGTGTTTACAATTAATGAATCACAACCGGTTATAGATTTATTTTCCACTCTCACTGCTTCATTTGATGACCCAAAAATCTCCAAAAACTTTCCATCACTGTATATAGAAAAGCACATGACTTAAAATGGGCAAGGCCCTTCTGCAGAAGAGGGATGAATTGGAAGAACTAAACCACCAAGGAGATAGGAAGTAGTATTAAATCCAGAGAAACTGAAACAGTAAAGAATTTGTGCAAAGATAAACAAACTGACCGACTGAACACAACTGATCCTAGAAACAGCCCCACACTATCTGGATGGACAGAAGTGGCACTATACTCAGTGGAAGGGAATTAACTTTTTAATAAATAGTGATTGGAAAAGTGCTTATCCACATGTCAGAAAAAAATGGATTGGGTCCCTCGCTCCTATCTTACACACATAATCAATTTCAAATGCATTAAGACTTAAATAGGAAAGAAAAACTTAAAGATCTAAGAGAATGCATTTCTGGCCTTAGAGTAGGAAAGATTTCTTAAACAAAACACAAAGTACCAACAATGAAAAAATTATAAATTTTCCTACACTAAAATTTTAAAGTTCCATTCTTCAAAAGACATCACACAGAAAAAAGACAAGGCCAAATGGGGAGAAGACATTTACAACACATGCAGCTGCCAAAAGGTTAGTATCCAAAACATATAAGGAATGCCTACATACCAGAAAGCAAAAAGGCAAACTCCTTAATAAAAATGAGCAAAAGATCGGATGGCCAGGTGCCATTTGAAAAGGTGCTCAATCCCTTTAATAATAACTGAGATATAAACTAAGACAACAAAAACATAGCATGGTGACACTAGGGTGGCAAAAATTTAGTCTAATATAATTAGAATCAGAGAAGGTATGGATTAACATATTAGATGCAAATGCAGAATCTCTTTTTTACATACATAAATACCATAAAACATACAAGAATATTCATAGTATCATGCTTATAAGAGCAAAAAGCCACCGGGTGCAATAGCTCACACCTGTAATCCTAGCACTGTGGGAGGCTGAGGTGGGTGGACTGTTTGAGCTCAGGAGTTTGAGACCAGCCCCACCAATAGTGAGACCCTCTCTCTACTAAAAAAATAGGAAAAAATTAGCCCGGACTTGTGACTGGTACCTGTAGTCCCAGCTACTCAGGAGGCTGAAGCAAGAGGGTAACTGGAGCCCGACTTTGAGGTTACTATGAGCTACGATAACGCTAAGGCACTCTACCCAGGGCAACAGTGAGACTCTATCTTTTTTTTTTTTTTT